TATGCCACATGTACATTGTTTATACAGTTAATTTTTGATTATAAATTCTTTTAAATACATGACTTACAGGGAATGCTGTCTTTCTTTGCTGCCATCACAATTAGATGCTGCCATGCTTTTTTAATTGGTACTTAAATGTTCATGTACATGTAGGTTGGTATTAAATCATTAATTAATGTTCATGTGTGTGTGTGTGTGTGTGTGTGTGTGTATCATGTGATAGTGATGTGTGTCTATGCATGATGTGTATGTATAAATAATAATGTACACACATATACACATACATATGTATGATGAATGTGTATAATGTATGTGTGTGTATGTGGTAAGTAAGTGTACATGAATGTTTGTACATTATTATTAGATCAATGGATATCTCCTGTTGTTACTGGAGACAGACCACCTCCTATTAGTAACTTCACTCTAACACCAGTTACTAATAACACTGCGGTAATGTTCGGAGGTGATACTGATAATGGATTCAGTAATAAACTGTATATGATAAGTTTCACTAAGACATCAATGGTGAGTTAATACTGCATTACATTGATAGTATTATTCTCTCAGGATATATTAGAAGTACCTAATCCTGGAGGATCAGTACATTGGCCTGAGAGAAGATTTGCTCATTCCAGTGTACTGATTACCACTAGTTCAGGACCACACTTACTAGTGGTGGGTGGATGGCCTGCCTATGATGTATGGTTACTGGACATTAACAAAAGAAAATGGAAAGAACCGGTAAGTATTATATTATGATGCTTGATAATGAAACATAAAGTGATTACCTAAATTTGTAACTCATGAGGTTTGTACAGTACGTCCTCGATTATTCAAACACCTCTGTGCACCTCTATTGGGAGAGATGTTCAGATAGCTGAAATAGTCTGAATAAGTGAAATACAGTGCAGAATACAATAGACCAACCTATCCTATACTTTTTGAAGAATAAATGTGCATGACTTTCCTTTCTCTAACTTGCAGAGCATCTCAGGCTTCTCTTTAATGGTATTTCTCTTGGTTAAGCTCGGTTAAGCTCCTTGCTGCGTAGCCATTTTAACCGGTTATTAATAAATTAACTAGTCTGAGCATGCGCATTAGGGACAGCCATGTGTTCGGATAAACGAGGGTTCGGATAAAAGAGGTACGGATAATCGAGGACGTACTGTAATGTACATGTACATATTATGATACTCAGTGAAAACTACTGATGAATAATGCTGGTACTCAGTGAAAACTACTGATAAATAATGCTGGTATTCAGTATGTGTGTGTGTGTCTGTTTTTAGTGTGAATGTGTGTTTGTGTCTTTTTGTGTTTTGTGTTTTGTGTTTGTTTCTTTACCTAAATATGTGTGAATATAAATGTGTCTGTGTGTGTGTGTGTAAAGATGGATTGACAATTGATAGAGTGTCAATGCTGGAATTAAAATAAATTGTATTTTATATACATTGTGTACATGGTGTATGTACATACATGTATTTGTGTGTATGTGTGCATATGTTTTAATATGTGTATGTGTGTACTAACACGTACATGTAACATGTACATGTGTGTACATGTAACATGTACATGTGTGTGTTTGTGTGTGAGCAATTATGCATGCTTTATATGTACCTTTATATGTCTATGCATGTATAGATGTACATGTATGTGTGTTAGTGTGTCATTAGTATGTGTATGTGTATGTGTGTACATGCAGACACTTAGTAAGTTCTTAATTGAGGACTCACATGATATAATAACACACTCAGTTGTGTATTCTTATCTATTAATATATTGTGTATTATTAATTTTATTATGTGATCTTTGTGTTACATAAAACACACTGTGCAGACTATAAAACTGTGAGTTAGTTATTCTGTGTATTAACCAGATATCAAATCAATTAATATG